TTAATTTATATTAATTATAAATTAAAACCTGATTTTTGTATAATTAAACTTGATTCCTTATTTATGAAAATGGAAATCTAAAAACCTTTCTAGGTGTAATTTCCTCTATTTTTAAACATCAAAACCCTACAGATTCTTGTATACAATTAATGGGCTTGGGTGATTTCAGCTAATTTGATGTTTGTTTGGCTTAATTTTCTTTCCTCTTTTAAGTCATAAAAATGGGTTGAACTTTATTAGGTTAATTTGAACACAATTGTTAATGCAAATTCATGCTCATTTTGACATTTAAGCATGCATATACATGCATTTTAGAACACCAAAAAGAATACAACTTTACATTTTTTGCCACTCACCCTACCAAACATTCGTTGCTTCTATCAAAGACGCTACAAGAACTTGACTCAATGGCAACGCACGTCTTTAAATTCCTATCATACAACTTCTAAATTCCTATCACATAACGTTACATTGGTGGTGATCATCTTGAGATTAATTTTGTGTTTACCTTGTTACATATGCATCAGTATTCAGTAGTTCTCCAAAGATTTATTTAAGAAGCAGGATATATACAAACCTGATTTTAACGTAAACACCAGATAATACACAGCATAACCTATGATATGGGTGCAGAATGACACATGAATATGAAAGACATGATATGTCAAGTATGATGTCGTTAAACAACTCCCAAAAATTTGATAAACCAACAAGATCGAAGATTGCACAATAATGCATCTGACCTGATTTTCTGATATAGATGCAGATGAACAGTGTCAGATAAAATCCTTCCCCCACAACGCAACATCATAATCCTATTGAATTTGAATTTGCACATATTATGGAATCACAACTAATGTTAATGTGAAATATTTTAATATTTGAATCACAGTATTTTTGGTATTCTTTGTTGAGTTATATAATCTTATTAATATATATACATCATTCAATAGTAAATTGGGAAAAAAATATTGTGGATAAATGAGATTTTTTTGACAAAGGCTTCTTATAGAAAACAACAAAAAAAATCTTTAAAATGGATCTTAAAAAAAAAAAATTGACTCCAGTATTTTGTGGCATTCTTTGTTGTTTTATTTTACACATCTGATATCAAAACTCATTCCTCTAGCAAATGTTTTTAGGGTTGTTCTCATTCTTTTCTAAGGTAATTTCTTTATTAGCTCCTCCAATGTCATTACCAACAAAAGTAATCATGGTTTCACTTCAAATAAAAAGTTAAAAATTGTATTTATTTTTTGTTCACAATACCTTACATTAACCTAGAAGAGAGAAAACGTCTCATTCAACTTACTGAACCAAGACCTTGAGCTAGATGTTACACAACTTGAATGTAAATTGAACTGAACTGAATTGTATTCTCGATTCTTTATCAGCCAATCTTGTATTAATACCACTTACCTTTAATGAGATAGCTAGCATGAGTAAGTAGGGATGGCAATGGGAAGTTCAGGACGGGGCAACTCGCAGGAATTTTTCGCCCAGTGGCCTACTTAAGATGGGATGTGACAATAATTTCCCCCTTTTACAGTCCCGTTTATGCGTACCTTTGAATAATTCTTTTAAATAATATTAAAAAGGACGGGGCGACCAATAACTGTTGCTGACTTGAACCCGAGTCAACCAAACCCGCAGGGCAAGGAATTCCCACCCTATTTGGGTTGAGGCCCTGCAGGTTGCGAGGCAATCGAATTTTGTTGTCATCTTATTAATGAGCTACATTCAAATTAGTCATGCCTAAAAAGACTCGTAGAACTATATTTCTTGACTCAATCAAGTTTTAGGTATCCTTTAATGAAGCGTGCTGCCATACACATTTTAGGATGCTTGAGTTTTTTTAAAAATTAATTTTATAAAAGTTTACACGTAACAAGTTCATGTACAATTTTAACTTCGCCTACTCAAAAAAAAAGTTGTTGATCCCAAACCAGAAGAAAAGGAGGATGTCTTTATATATATATATATATATATATATAAAGAACAAAAAGGAGAGGTTCATTGGCCAAGCTCGACTCAACCCCACTAGAAACGAGCCACAATCATGGCTCTGTAGAGCCATGAGACAAGCTCATGAGTAATGGGGCCGAGCCGGCTCAGCTTAGCTCAGTCCATTGACACCACTACTATTAATAAGTCAAATAATAAAAATTTTCTTGATATTGAACTTATGGTTCAATATAATTTTTGTTTTAAGTGTACTCATTTTTTTTTATTCTTCTAAAACCATCAATCACGTTTGCAGAATCTCACATTGTACTTATGTTTTTCACCCTGGGACTCACCATGAGTTTAATTGGATGTTTGTAATATCACACATATGTTACCCACGTTTGAAATCCATATGATGTATGCATAAATTTTTTGAATCGACGAACTTAGGATTCTTGAAATAATTTACATCTCTTATTTACATAATGCAAGGAGCCACCATAGTCATCAAATACATAAATAATGCCAATCAACGAAAGAGTGCAAAATTTGAGGAATTAACCACGGCTCCTACCATTGATTCAAATCCTCGTGGGAGGATTCAATTTGAACTTTCTTTACTTTCAATTAATTAAATTGTTTTAACTTATTATTACCAATTAATTAGTAACTCGAAAAATTTAATCTTGTCTCCTATATATGTACTCTTGCAATTTTTTAAAATGTTTTTTAAATAGTGATCTAAAGGTCCGATCAGTGACCTTATGACATGGTGCATTGGTCGGGTCAATACATGGATTAACTAGTAAATTCTATTTTGCGATAATTGTACTTTAATATGATTTCGCACATTTTAATTGAATTTAAATTGGGTAGCTATAATTTAACTTGATTTCAATTAAGTAATTTTGTCCAATTTCACAAATTAGAAAAAAATGATGTGATACTCAATAAATGAAGATTATTATGTGTAATCTTTAGTTGTTGACTAGAAATAAGTACAATTTCATCCAAATAAATGGCAGCCAACAATTTCATTAGTCCAAATAATCGAATCAGATGAAGTTACTGTATTAAAATTAAATTAAATTATAGTTAACCAATTGAACTAAAATTAAGTAAAATAACTTAATTAAAATAAAGTAAAAATGTAATTCTAGCAAACGGAATTTACCCTATAACTATGCTTGAACCTTTGCAATTAAGATAGAGTTGAGATCTGCTGTCCAAAATTGACTGTCTAACTTGTTGTTCATCCAATGATTTATTGATACTTCACTTTAAATTAAAATGTTCAACTTTTCTCTCATTTTCATTTGTGCTTAAAAATATATGTAAAATGATGCGTCAAATAGCAATTTGGATATTATTAATTAAAAAAATTAAAATGACGTGTCAAATTCCATTTGGTTGATACACGGGTAGGTATCCACCAACGAGCCACCATAAAGTGAGCACAGTATTTCAACTTATAGTCTGCGACGAGACTCGAGACGTTTCCTTTATTAAACTGCCTCACACTACACTCCTACCTCCCGCAAAATCCAAATCCAAATCCAAAATCCACTTGTGGAAAAATGCATGGATCTTTCTCTACAGTGACATGCTTGCTGAACTTCAGCTCATCAGGATTGATTCAAGATTGTTTATTCTACAACTTTATTTTATTGTAAAGTTTGGTCAACTCCAGAAACGAGAATTGCAATTTCACAAGAAGCATGGTAGAGGATCTTTTGGAAAAAATAAAATTGAGGGTATAAAGTAGGGAAGTTTCTATAGAATAGTAAGACGAAGCTTTAGATGCATGCATATTAATTATGGGTCAAATTTTATGATTATGTTTGGGATAATTAATATCATGTCATGACTTGGGATTAGGTGTTAGATGGAATGCCAAAGTCTTTTCAAAATATTTGGAGAATACAAATCAATATATCCTGAATGTTCAATCCCATTAATTGATCAAGTCAGTTGGCATGAGTTAAAAATGGTGATTCTTAATATAAGTGATGGTTGTGGTCGAGTGCAGTAGGGAAATGATGATAAAGTCAAGATCGATGAATTTGATTCCAATTCATCAACAAGTCAAAAGAAGAGGATGCAATGGAGTTGTTCTTAATTTCTTTTGATTTTTTTTTTTTAAAACGGATACTATTGTATTTTTTATCAATTAATTTAGTGGATTGTTTGAACCGTGACATGGGACCAGCGTATGTCTACTTTGAGGTTTACTATGTTGCATTTGGTGTTCATGTTTTAATCTATTATTCGATTTCAACACAAAATTAAAACTACTTGAACACAGATTCAACCTGCTCATTGCCGTCAAAATCATTAGAAATTGAATATAGAATTGTTGTCCACTGTTTCAATAGTACAATTAAAACTCATTTTTAATTTACTTATACTTTAGAATTTACACCAACCATTCTTTTTGGCCCCAATCGAGAGTATAAAAGATGGAGAAAAAAAAGAAAGAAAAAAGTCAGTATTCTAAATGGCGTGATTAGACGGTGCCTAGGTGCGAGACATGGCATTTTCGCCATGCCTAGGAACTGTGCGTTATTTTAGTTCGTGAATTAAAGTAGAATTTGTCGAATCTTCCACATGTTTCATCTTTTCTTTAGATGTCTTAAGATATTAGTTCAATAATATGAAAGAGAACTTTCTCTGTAATTAGTTAATTCAAGGATCCATGTTTCTGATAGATCACCCATTGTATTTAGAGTGTGTTTGATTGATTTTATTTTTCACGAAAAATGTCATTTTTTCGTCCAAATTCCCACTTTTGGGGCATTTGATTGACAATTTTTTCCATAAAAAATATTTTCTAACTTTTGGTCATGTGATCATATTTTCTTTAAAAATAAGAAAAACATTTTTTTATGGAGGGATTGTTTTTATTTTTTAGGTAATTCACTCTCTCTTTCTCTCTCTCTCATCTACCCACCAATAAAAAATGAACAAATATAATATTTTTTGGGTTGAAAATTAAATCAATTAAACACATTTAATTAATAATTCTTATACAAATAAATCATATGCAATTGAATTACCAATAATTTATTTTCTTTC